TTTTTTTAAAACAGCAGAAAATTGATAGAGTCTATTTGCTGATTTAAAGCTTTAGATTTAAAGCTTTAGGCTTCCTGAAAGCAAAATGCAGCACTGTACTGTTGCTAAATGAAACAGTCTCTCCATGTTTTGCAATCTGATAACAGACCACTTTGGACCAGAAGATTGAGTTACTTTTAAATTCAAGGCCACATTCCCCCCTCTGTATTAAATCCTACATCAGAGAACCAAAACATATGTCTGATCAGGTAAGGGTCAGTATCTGTTTTGTTGCCCAACTACTTTAAGCTTAGTTAGCTCTCCTGAATAAGGGGAGCTCTGACTGCTGAACTCTGGGTCAGAAAACTCTTGGATCCAACCCCTTCGAGTTATATAGACATGTTTTTGATAAGGGCAGATCTCACCAAGCATCAATAAACACCAAGTGCTGCATATGGACCTGAAATCATTAAATATACCTATAATTAAGCCACATCTTTGAGTCAAAAGTTATGCAGTGTTGCAACGAAAAACTAAGATGTCCTACCTCCGAATGGCGTCACTAATCTGACTGATCTCTTTTTCTGCCAGATCAAGTTGGTCTTTTCTTCTCTGCAGAAAGGCCTGCATCTCAGCGAGATTTAATGCTTTTCTATGAATCTGTAAAACCGTAAAAAAAAAAAAAAGAGCTAAACTTACTACCAAGGAAGAAATAAATTCAAACATTTAAATAACTTCACCGAGATGTAAAACAAATCCACATATGTAGATGTTTTTTTTTTAATACATTTTGCTTTTTTAATCTTCCCCCCTCATATTACCGTTTGTTCACTCTCCACTTTTGTTTTGCGCACAAGACAAAATCTCTTCCAGATGGATGGTTTCAGCATTTTTGGCATATTTTCTGGAGCATCCAGCTTTTCCATGGCTTTGAGAAGTTGACTGAGTCCATCAGGAGAAGCGGAGTCAGTCAGGTGACGCTGCTTTAAGAAGTTGGGTGGGTTTCCAGTCTGGGCCCTCAAAACTTGAACCCTGAAAATACTCATGGTAGTCACAACTTTAAAGAAAACCTCTATTAGACAGCTGATGAATGGAAATGGTTGCATACATACTTTGGTCTACATTTGAACAGCTTGTAAAGCTGCTTGACCATGTTGTTTGGCACGTCTGCAAAGTCCCTCCTAAACTGTTTATCCAGAACCTTTGGATGATGAAATAAAATCCGATTATCACTAGGACTGTGTTTTTAATTTATTTTTTTTAATTATCATTTTATTGACAGGCTTACTTTGTCTTCAGCTACAATTCTGTCATATTCACACTGAAACTGTTTCACCTCCTCCTTATATGTCCTCAAGGCTATCGCCATTTTCATCTGTCAGAAAAATACAGTTTTGGCCAGTCAGCCTGACACATGTACCTGTTGCTACACACCCCATTGTCAAATTAACTATAAGGGATACAAAGGTGATGGACTGGAATACATACAAATAATTCTGCCAATTTTAATAAATTGATTCTAGCACAGGCGATTAATACATTCCTGCAGCATTAGGGTGCAACTTTTCCAACCTTGTGTGCAGACGCCTGTTCAAGTTTTAGCTTGAGCTTCTGCTCTTGAGTGTCCAACTGCTCAGCCTTGATCACTGTATAATTCAGGTTGATGATCTTCATCTCTTCCTGTCAAAACCACACTCAGAACTTAATCAAACATAAGCAATGGGTTGAATGCATACATAGGTCACACTTTTCAGTTGATGGTTGTAAAAGGTTTGATAATCAGTTAGAGATTTCCTAGCAATCAAACGCTCTTGGATAAAAGACATTGAACCTTGTGTTTTTAATGGGGATCAAGTTTGGAGAGGATCCAGTGGGATGAACACTTTTAAGAGACTTTTTACAAACTTACCTGATCTATAGCTATTGTGCATTTGAGTTTCTTTTCCTCAAGCTCTGCAAGCATTTTGTCAAAGTTTTCAGTTTTATATTTGATGGATTGCTGCAGAGCTTTCATTTCAATTTCAGGCGCCTGCAGAGCCAGAGTTTCCAAATGATTACTTTTGCTCTAGAATGTTGATAATCAAATATGAAATTGCATAAGCAGAACTATATGCATGTAAATATATTTTCTTATTACCTTTATACCGTCCTCTTTATCGAGATCTTTGAAGCTCCTCTCATTTTCTTTGCATACTTCTCTCTCCTCGATGCAACACTGAGTTTCAGCTTTGGTCAAAACAAACTCAGGAGGAGGCATTTCCTGTGAAGTAGAATCAAAATAAACCATGTGCTCATCATGCTGTTTGGTCTAATTCTGCTCACACAGCCTAAAAAGAAAAAGGTTGAACTGTTTTAAAACAAATGAGCAGTTTTAGCCCATAGATCAGATTAGATTAGATGAGCTAGATTAGATTTATCTCTGAACAAAAATAAATAAAAATAAGAAATAAATTAGGGAATAATAAGAAGAATATAATTTGAAATGTGGTTCATTGATTCATTTAGAGGCCTCATGTACCATTTACATATGAAGATATATATTCCGTTTTCTCTCTGATTTCTGTCCACTTGGATCAATTTAAGCCAGACACTACACTAAAACTTGTAATGCTATGCTTCAGAAATAATAAAAGCCATTCACTCTTCAAAGATACACTAACATAATAAGGTTAGATGTTGTTTAAAGCATTTAGAAAAACTAAACCTATGAGTGCCTGTGTAACAGAGATGAGATTCATTCTGAAATCTTTTCTAAATTTAATGCTTAAAGCTAAGAGGAAATTACAAGGCACATTATCTGACCTGCTATGGATTGATTGACCACTCATTGAACAGAACATTTTTACCTTTTCTAAAATGTTCTCATTTTTCCTTTTTTTCCCTTTCAAATAGGCAGTTTCTGTTGACCATTATAAATAAAGTCCATGAAAAGTAATGATTAAAAAGGTCACATTTTCCCAGTTTATGGATTTTTTTGTCCCTCTTTCGCAGGATGATGAGATCAAGGAACCAATCTTTCATAAAATACTAGAGCAAAATAAAATACTCTAGTCTACTCTATTTCAACATTGCAGATAAAAGTAAGAAATTTATGAATCTTGATGGAAAACACACAAAAAAAACTCCAGTGTTTATCATGAAGGCATACGTGTGCAGTCAGGTGGTTCTCAGTCGCCAACCTCCGCCTCTCTTCTTCTTCTTCTTCTTTCTGCTCCAGGTTGAGGTATTTCTCTGCCTTAATCTAAAGTGGGACAAAGGCAACATCTCACGATAACAATTACATAGCAGCTCACATCTCAGCACAGGAGAACAAACAAACAATCCACAGAGCAGTTCTACAGCCCCTCATGCTTGGTTGAATTTTAAATGAACCATGTCCACTGCTGGGACATTAAATGATGATAGTAACCTCAGAGTCGTCCAAAGTGAACAGTCTCTCTGGCCACTCGCTGTCGGTCAGACTGGGCTCCCACAGCTTCTGCTCTATGTCTAGTTTCAGCATGAGTTCCCGGATCCTTTTGTTCCCGTCCTTCACATGTCTGAGCACTTCCAATTTCCCCCTGTGCAGAGCTTCGAAATCTGAGTTGAAATCCATCTTGATGTCATAAACCAAATCCTGTGTTCAGAGGTGACAGAATGTATTTCTAATTAGGATGTGGACAGTAACAATAATAAACTGAAGCTGGGCATCTGACTCATTCTTTAAACCACAAGTTTAAACACTATGTATACACAATGAATAAAATGTTCAGGAAGAAGACAGGTTCTGTGTTCCTGCGCGATTCGATTAGAAAGAAATGTGTGTAAAATAAAAATCAACATTACAGTGAAACAAGGGGCTGGCGGCCCCCTGGTGCTTCAAAACAGAGATAACATCATGAGGAAAGAACAGTCTGTGGAGAACATCTGAAGACATTAACCAGAATTATGTATTATGGTTGATGAATGTTGGGCTTTTTTTTCTATTTTCTTTGCTGGCTGTGACACAGTTTTCCCCTCTGGGATAATACAATAAAATAATAAATAAAACCCTAAACATTGAAAAAAAAGTTAGAATCTTGTGGTAGGAAGCCCAATCCATTGACCCTAGTAAACAGTTTAAAAAGCAGCTTTATTAAATACAACGGAAATGTACAAAAATAAAATTAAAAATTGTTAAAAACTCCTGATATTTTTTTGCACCTGAGCAATAAAAATGGTTTAGGTAAACCTAACTGACCTAAAGCAGGAAAATAACATGCAAGATAAAAATAAATCATAAAAAATAAAAGATTGCATCTTTTTATACATTTTAAATATTACATCTAAGTCTCCAACAATGACTACAGGTCCTTTTTCAGGATGTTTGCCACTGGCTTCCGAAAGCACTGCAGACTTTAAATGAAAAATATGCCCTTTTTTTTTACCACAATTTGACAGACCTGTAACAATATGATCTGGTTGCTCCTCTGTTCGATAGTTTTCAAGCTGAACTGGTTGTAGAGGTAAGGATTGAAATATCCTAGCTGGGCTGAAATGCTTCCACTCAGAGCTGTGCTCTCTGCCCCATGGCCTTCCTCCTCCACTGGCTCTTCCTCCGGTTCGCTGTCACTTTTCTCCTGGCCACTCAGCTGCATGTTAAAGTTGTGGGACAACAAATGTTACAGCAAAACATAAGCTCCGAATTTGCGGCAAGAAGATTATAAACTATAGAATCAAAGAATAATGCAATTAAGGGAATTATTTCAGAAGCCTGCTTTCAACCACACAGTTATAAATCTCCAAACATTTCAACAGCCTTGGACTGCCGTGTTTTCAAGTATTTCAACAAGGCTGCAGCAGGGACAGTTCAGAAAGGGTTGAGGTTCAAAGCTAAAGCTTGTTTCTCCAAACTAAACTAGCTTGTACCTAAATAATTTTGCCTAAAAGATTTTCCAGAGAGACATATAAATAAAGTTTCCCTGCTATTCTGTTTAGAAAACATTTCATTCTTACCTCACAGCCACAACAGCAAACATGGATCTAATTATCTAACTCATCACATGTGAATCGCTTTGCCTCATCAAATAGAATCTAGGCCAGCAGTTTTATTTACCCTGTTTGCAGCCATTTCATTCTTCCTTATATTTTGAACCCTATGGAGGTCCTCCAACTCCTTCTCTGTTCTCTCTTTGAGGGGATAGTTCTTCACTTCCATTTCAGAGTGGAAGGCCTGTGGGTGACAGAAAATCTTAATTCAAAGCTAAGAGATATGAGAAAAGGTCTCATTTCATAAGAGCTGACCATGATGCTCCTGGGTTTGACCATAAAGGAATCCCAGCATTCCCTCTTCATAACATCATAGAGGTGACGGTTTTTTGCAATGTCCAGCTGAATTTCCGCCCTCACCTGCACAAGGGAGCGACATTAAAGATCATTTTTGAAAGGATTATTTAGGATCAATGGCAATAATGTTTTTTGAGCTTGCAGGACCTTCTCAGCTTCCTCCTCCACCATGGCATCCATTGCCCTCTGCCCCTCCACATCCAAGTTAAACTCTTCAATAGGGACATGCTCATTTTCAAGCATCAGTTTTTGAAGCTGACAGCAAAACAAAAAGGCATATTTCACACATCTTAAGAGAGAAGAATCAAATTCAAATGTAGATTGTTTGTTTTTCCATTGTTAACATCTGTCTATTTACTAGCAAATCAAATGCTGGAAAATCCTTTTTTTTTTTTNGCCTTCCTCCTCCACTGGCTCTTCCTCCGGTTCGCTGTCACTTTTCTCCTGGCCACTCAGCTGCAGGTTAAAGTTGTGGGACAACAAATGTTACAGCAAAACATAAGCTCCGAATTTGCGGCAAGAAGATTATAAACTATAGAATCAAAGAATAATGCAATTAAGGGAATTATTTCAGAAGCCTGCTTTCAACCACACAGTTATAAATCTCCAAACATTTCAACAGCCTTGGACTGCCGTGTTTTCAAGTATTTCAACAAGGCTGCAGCAGGGACAGTTCAGAAAGGGTTGAGGTTCAAAGCTAAAGCTTGTTTCTCCAAACTAAACTAGCTTGTACCTAAATAATTTTGCCTAAAAGATTTTCCAGAGAGACATATAAATAAAGTTTCCCTGCTATTCTGTTTAGAAAACATTTCATTCTTACCTCACAGCCACAACAGCAAACATGGATCTAATTATCTAACTCATCACATGTGAATCGCTTTGCCTCATCAAATAGAATCTAGGCCAGCAGTTTTATTTACCCTGTTTGCAGCCATTTCATTCTTCCTTATATTTTGAACCCTATGGAGGTCCTCCAACTCCTTCTCTGTTCTCTCTTTGAGGGGATAGTTCTTCACTTCCATTTCAGAGTGGAAGGCCTGTGGGTGACAGAAAATCTTAATTCAAAGCTAAGAGATATGAGAAAAGGTCTCATTTCATAAGAGCTGACCATGATGCTCCTGGGTTTGACCATAAAGGAATCCCAGCATTCCCTCTTCATAACATCATAGAGGTGACGGTTTTTTGCAATGTCCAGCTGAATTTCCGCCCTCACCTGCACAAGGGAGCGACATTAAAGATCATTTTTGAAAGGATTATTTAGGATCAATGGCAATAATGTTTTTTGAGCTTGCAGGACCTTCTCAGCTTCCTCCTCCACCATGGCATCCATTGCCCTCTGCCCCTCCACATCCAAGTTAAACTCTTCAATAGGGACATGCTCATTTTCAAGCATCAGTTTTTGAAGCTGACAGCAAAACAAAAAGGCATATTTCACACATCTTAAGAGAGAAGAATCAAATTCAAATGTAGATTGTTTGTTTTTCCATTGTTAACATCTGTCTATTTACTAGCAAATCAAATGCTGGAAAATCCTTTTTTTTTTTTTCTTAGCATTTATTGCATCCAAACTGAATGTGCATTATTTTTGGTCTATAGCTCATCAACAAAAGACATGGGTGTAGATGCACTAATTGAAAAAAAAGGATCAAGATTTGGGACATAAGCTTTGAAAATTTGATTTAGATCATTTTGTAAATCACTGCTGGACGCATTAATATTCTATATAAATATTATATACATTCTTTAGATGCAAAACCACTGCCTCAATCAAATAACCTATTACACAATTTTCTCTTTAGTCTCTGTAATTACATTGTACCTTGTTGAGTATCTCTTTAAGTGTGGGGGGAAAAATGTTATACCAAACAAATGGCAACAAAGAACCCACTTACAGCCTCCCGTATACTTGTCATCTCTTCTCTCAGGTATGTCTTTGTTTCTGCACACTTCTCATTGTCTTCTCTTACAATCTGTTGAAGATATAATAGGAAACATACATATAAATTGTTCTGCAAACAACTAAAGCAAGAAAGAACCATCTTTTCAGCTTTTGCAAATTCCCCTACATATGATATAGCAAGACCTTATTATTGGTTTATCTTTATGTTGAGCCTTTGTCAAGTGGAAAGATGCAAACAGGTCTTTTAATGCCTCTGTAATTATTTATCCCTCCTACTCTGTAAAGAACCATAAATCAAACTACAACAAGATGAAAGGTAGTGCCAACAATAAACAGCTCTCTCTGAAATCACACTCATGGGCCAGGCCCTTTAATGCTTATCTGTTGAGAAAAAAGATAAATATCTAAACATACTTTAACATGTTCTACATCCTTATCATTATCACTGATATAACAGGGATTCACTCACAGCTTCTTGTCTCTTTTCCTTCCAGGTTGAGTTTGAGTTTTGAGCAGGGGAAATGTAACTTGCATCTCGCTCCCTCGCATCAATCAATGTTGCACAACTGACCTGTACAACGTAAACAATATATAGGAAATCTGAGATTAGACTTGGTCAACATTTATTGTCATTTCGTCTACATAGAGTATATACAAAACGACATTTGATTTTGTACAGCTTTTATGACATTTCCATTTCTTAAAGTGCAGCAGTAATCAAATGTAAACAGTGTGGGAGAAAAAAAAACACATTGATATTGAAGTTCAGAGCATTAAATACATATGGTACATTTTGGGGGGTGTTTTGGAGATGCAGAGTAGCTAAGCACATTTCCTTTGGGAACAATCAAAATCTGAAAAGGTACCTGATGCTTTAGATTTGATCCATTCTATCATTTATAAGCAGCCATGCAACCATAATACACACACACAAACACATAGGATGGAAACTAATTTGGCAGGTTAAAGCAGCCGGAAGAAGTTTGAACTTATAATATCCTCAACTCTTCTTCCAGCATCATC